TATCATATTCGGTTGTTGTTTTTATCTGTTCGCGTGACATGTGTGAGTGTGACGCTATTGCGCAGGCGCAGTGTAGTCGGATGAAAGAGTAGTGTTTTCATTGGTCAGTGTTCCATCAATATTTACCCCTTGCATGGGCGGCTCCTTTAACAAGAGCTGGGATTGCTAGGGTGCTGGGATTCCACTACACACCAAGTCTACAAAACACCAGCCTGCTTTCTTCTCAGTTTATTAGTTTCATGCATGCTGAAACTAACCGGTGGTGAGGACAGTGGGGTTTCCACGGATTGCAGTTTGCCCTGGAGCGTGTAAATAAACGCTGATTGTCAAGATGGAAATGTCCAATTTCACACTTTTTGATCCGCGATGCAGGGAAGAGGCTCCGTTCGCTATCGATGTTATTATGCGTATGTATCTATTATTTGTATTATTTTACTTTATTAACAATAACTAGAATGGTGGAAATTATACCGATTTTGTAACAATTCGAATACAAAACATAAAACGTTAGTTTTCATATTATCTATTCTAAATAATGCAGCCAGCAGTCTCCAGATCGGCATAAATGACTGTGGTCACATTCAGTGCGCCTGAACTTGAGTGCGCATATGATAATGTTAAATGGCACTAATGTGGATTCTTTCCAGGTTGTCACCCTCAACTGTAGTAGACTATATTTATGTCAAACCCTCATTCTTGTTTGAATAGCTCTCACCTTTACTCTAACTTGCAGTAGAGGGAGCGATGAGAGTATCAGCCGTGATTGTAAACATAAAGGTTGATTTGTCCTCAGAAGAACTTTGCACAATAAAATTTGCACATGCACAATAACATGATGTTCTTGTTCAAACGACTTACAAGAAAGGGCATGCACTGTGGGGGGGTCGGGGCAGGACCCCATCTGAGGGTTGTCCCCCCTAAAAATATGTTTAAAACCCACTCTGTGCATTGTAAATAACAATGTTTTATACTTAAAATAATTGTGTAAGTAGTAAAACAACACAAACGGGGCAAAATGCTTTTTAAGTTTAGAAACATTTTGAGTCTCCCCCTCCTTTGCCTCACAGTGCTTTGGTCCAAATGCCTGCTTTCCTCTTTTACATCACCTACACACACACACACTTTTCTGTCTTTTTATTTTTTTTTAATTAGGCACTGACGTTTTTAGTGACTAATATAAACACGATTGTATTATACAATAGTATGTATTTTTTTTAAGTTTATATAATGCCTATCTTCTACTTTACCTAATAGTTTTATCATATTCGGTTGTTGTTTTTATCTGTTCGCGTGACATGTGTGAGTGTGACGCTATTGCGCAGGCGCAGTGTAGTCGGATGAAAGAGTAGTGTTTTCATTGGTCAGTGTTCCATCAATATTTACCCCTTGCATGGGCGGCTCCTTTAACAAGAGCTGGGATTGCTAGGGTGCTGGGATTCCACTACACACCAAGTCTACAAAACACCAGCCTGCTTTCTTCTCAGTTTATTAGTTTCATGCATGCTGAAACTAACCGGTGGTGAGGACAGTGGGGTTTCCACGGATTGCAGTTTGCCCTGGAGCGTGTAAATAAACGCTGATTGTCAAGATGGAAATGTCCAATTTCACACTTTTTGATCCGCGATGCAGGGAAGAGGCTCCGTTCGCTATCGATGTTATTATGCGTATGTATCTATTATTTGTATTATTTTACTTTATTAACAATAACTAGAATGGTGGAAATTATACCGATTTTGTAACAATTCGAATACAAAACATAACACGTTAGTTTTCATATTATCTATTCTAAATAATGCAGCCAGTAGTCTCCAGATCGGCATAAATGACTGTGGTCACATTCAGTGCGCCTGAACTTGAGTGCGCATATGATAATGTTAAATGGCACTAATGTGGATTCTTTCCAGGTTGTCACCCTCAACTGTAGTAGACTATATTTATGTCAAACCCTCATTCTTGTTTGAGTTGAGCTCTCACCTTTACTCTAACTTGCAGTAGAGGGAGCGATGAGAGTATCAGCCGTGATTGTAAACATAAAGGTTGATTTGTCCTCAGAAGAACTTTGCACAATAAAATTTGCACATGCACAATAACATGATGTTCTTGTTCAAACGACTTACAAGAAAGGGCATGCACTGTGGGGGGGTCGGGGCAGGACCCCATCTGAGGGTTGTCCCCCCTAAAAATATGTTTAAAACCCACTCTGTGCATTGTAAATAACAATGTTTTATACTTAAAATAATTGTGTAAGTAGTAAAACAACACAAACGGGGCAAAATGCTTTTTAAGTTTAGAAACATTTTGAGTCTCCCCCTCCTTTGCCTCACAGTGCTTTGGTCCAAATGCCTGCTTTCCTCTTTTACATCACCTACACACACACACACAAGTCCGGTGAGAGAGAACAAAGCCAATAGTTGTGGAACTCCAGTATGTAAGGCTGTTAACTTGTGCCAATGCTATTTTATTCAATTAAACATCGAATGAAGTGATTATTTTATCTTTAATACAGATTATGCCAATGTTTTTTTGCGATGCGTCCGCTATGTTAGCAATAATAACGTTACCTGCTTGAGAGAAGGGGTTGCCAGGTGTTCATAACAAAACCTGCCCAATTGCTACTCAAAACTAGCCCAAACTAACCGCGTTTCGAGGGGTCCCCCGGTACAAATCGCGTTCTGGGTGCTAAAATACACGTTATTGGGGATGCTTCAATCCACTGACATGAAAAACACCTGGCGGCAACAGTGATAAAGTAGCCCAATTCCACAGGAAAACCGCGGACTTGGCAACACTGTGATGGATAGTAATGTCTACAACGGGCACGAGCGCTGTCACGCGACCACAACAGCTTGAAGTTGTCTAATTTGGCACGGTCTCCCTGCTGCACTAATAGTAAGCCATTCCTCTGTGTATACATATCCTTACAAGTACAATTTTAGCTGTATTATTTGTGTCCCCTTCAAAAATTGCTCTTGAGAAATGTTTATGTTTATTGTAAATTTTTACTGTTAGACGACATTTACACCCCTGGGCAATTGGAACATGGAAGTTAGGTAACATCACATCACATCAGTGGATAGAATAAAAAGCCAGACACCTGGTTTGTGTAAAGCTACACACCAGCACAATGTGTCAAACATGAAGTATCATTAAAATGAGACTGATAATAAGTGAAGTAATCTGAAATGGCTTGTTTGCGAGGTTATTCCTGAAATCCTCAATTTAACACTGACAGCGTACTTCATTCTGACTGGAAGCACATGATGGCTTTAAAAAATGTGGAAAGTTATTATTGTTTGCCTCTATAAATCTAGAATTGTCCTTTTATTCCACATGCCTTTAACTGATAATTTCAGTGTTTTCATTGATTCCAAAATTAGTAAAATAAGGTGATTACATTTAAGACAACTGGTCAAATGTGACACCTAAGCTTAATCATCTTTCATTATTTTCCACTTCTAAGCAGTGGTATTTTAGTTATTTACTATTATAGTATGTATTCATATATTGAATTAGCTTTTATTATTATATTTTAATGAGTTTAAGATCATTTGTAAATGGATGGCATGTGTGAGTTTATAAAAATATTGTTTTTATTGGTCCAAAATAATTGAACATTTTTAATAATTTTAATTTTAGTCATTCTGATATGTGTGTTTGTCTTTATATATATATATATATATATATATATATAGTCACTGAACAAAATTATAAATGCAACACTTTTGTTTTTGCCCCCATTTTTCATGAGCTGAACTCAAAGATCTAAGACTTTTTCTATGTACACAAAAGGCCTATTTCTCTCAAATATTGTTCACAAATCTGTCTAAATCTGTGTTAGTGAGCACTTCTCCTTTGCCGAGATAATCCATCCACCTCACAGGTGTGCCATATCAAGATGCTGATTAGACAGCATGATTATTGCACAGGTGTGCCTTAGGCTGGCCACAATAAAAGGCCACTCTAAAATGTGCAGTTTTACTGTATTTGGGGGGTCCGGGGGGGGTCCGAAAACCAGTCAGTATCTAGTGTGACCACCATTAGCCTCACGCAGTGCAACACATCTCCTTCGCATGGAGTTGATCAGGTAAGCATGTTGCTAGGATGTTGTTAGCATGTTGCTAGGATGTTTTTAGCATGATTAACATGTTGCTAACATGTTTTTAACATGATTAGCATGTTGTTAGCATGTCTCTAGCATGATTAGCATGTTGCTAGCATGTTTTAGCATGATTAGCATGCGGTTAGCATGTTGCTAGCCTGTTTTAGCATGATTAGCTTGTTTCTAGCATTGTTTTAGCGTGATTTAACATATTTAACATGAATGAAAAATCCCGCTAAAACCAGCTTATTTTGTAAAAAAAACTGCTAAAATCAGCTGATTCAGTAAAAAAAAGCTTAAAACCAGCGGATTTAACAAAAAGCCAGCTAAAAAACAGCTAAAACCAAGTAAAACCAGCAGATTTAGTAAAAAACAAAAAAAACCGCTAAAACCAACTGATTTAACAAAAAGCTAGCTAAAAAACAGCTAAAACCAGATGATTCAGCAACAACAACAAAAAACAGCTAAAACCGGTTTAAAACAGTATAGGCTGGTTGTCTAGTCTTAACTGGTTTAAGCTTGGTTTATCTTTTAGCAGGTCTCCCAGCTTGACCAGTTAAGACCAGCCTGTTCAGCTAAAAAGTGGGTTTTAGCGTGATTTAACATATTTAACATGAATGAAAAATCCCGCTAAAACCAGCTTATTTAGTAAAAAAAACTGCTAAAATCAGCTGATTCAGTAAAAAAAAGCTTAAAACCAGCGGATTTAACAAAAAGCCAGCTAAAAAACAGCTAAAACCAAGTAAAACTAGCAGATTTAGTAAAAAACAAAAAAACCGCTAAAACCAACTGATTTAACAAAAAGCTAGCTAAAAAACAGCTAAAACCAGATGATTCAGCAAAAAAAAAAAAAACAGCGTGACACAAATGAACATATTTCTGACTTAATTGGCAGATACTTTGCAATTGTGGTCTTCAAGTTCCTTATTCTCATGATTGAAGAGGTCGGAGGAGACAATGCATTTCTCAGACATTCAGAGAATAAGTCATTTAAGATCAGCACAGGACCTTGCTGCTGCTGCTGCCCGTGTCTGCCAAACGTCCCCATCACACCGTAAGCAAACCTTAAAGTGTGCTTGTCACGCCATCAGACCCAATCACTGCCACAATGCGCGCCAGTTGGTGGTGGTTGCTATGAAACTCAAATAATCAAAATAGCCCACCCTCTAGTATCTATGACTGGAGACTAGGGCCCACTTGAGGGCCTCAGCAAACATCCAAGGTGGCCTCAAGAAGACTTCAAATTATTTAACTTCAGAAAAAACAAGTATTATTAAAAGCTAAAATAACAAAAAATCAAGGTCTTATTTTAATTCACCTCACCACTGAAGAAAAATAAAACATTGTTAATTAATTTTAAGTGTTATTTCTAGACCTGGAAAAGTAAAGTCAATTAATAAAATCTTAAAACTCTAAAAAGTATACATTTAGTAAATTTTTCTGCCAAGTTCCATAATATTTTATTAGGTAGAAAGTAATTTTAGCTAATGATTTTAAAAATGTTTTATGTTTTAGAAAAAAATATTGATGTGGACAATAGACCTTAGTCAGGGTAGTGCCATATTTAAAAAAAATTTTTTAATAGGAATGAGAGATAAAATATTGTGCATTCTGTGGATTGTACTGTTGTTTAACAACACACCAATTGTTCAGCTGATGAAAATTCTTTGAGGAGAAAAACTTTCAATAGACAAAAATCCTCACATCCTCATTTTCCATGTTAAATTCGAACGGTTAGACGTACAAATAATATTTCAAAGCAGCTTCACCGTTATAAACAGGAAAACAACTATTAAAGTTCTTTAGTTATGAAACAGATACAATTTCAGTTGTAAAGCAGCTCTAAAAAGGCAATAGTGTATCCATTCAACTCACTTTAGTTCAAAAATAATGTAAAGTTCATATAATTATGAAACAAGCTTAATTCAGCCATAAGCAGCTCTACAGAAAGCAATGATTGTCATTATTCAGCTCAAGTCAGTTAAATGTTGATTCAATTCAGTTCAATAACAGTGTCAGTGTTGCAGAGTTCATCAATTATGACAGTTAACCGTCATTATCCAGTTCAATTTAGTTCACATTTTGTTCACATCTAATAGTGTCAGTGCAGACCATGTCTTTTAAGCCCCGACTGAGTAAGACAAAGGTGACAGAACATCCTAAACATTAGCCTGTATAGAAATAAATGAATCATTCATATTAACTAAATTGCAGCTGCATGTTAAACATTCTAAAACTGACTTCGGCGTTTGCCATTAATTGCCCATATCTTCGACTGGATGTCGACAGGATGAGTGCACCTCTGGCCTTTCAATTCTTCTGCAAACATGAGGTCTTTATCATGCTTAGTGCGCAACCTAAAATGGGCACCTTGGGGCGAAGAAAGGAGCAGTCTTTTGCAGCTCCTGGAATCATTGGCTTTATATCAGTGTTATGTAAGACTTCCATTATCAAACTCAAACAGTTGAATGTGATACCAGTGGGTGGGCTCATGTGACTTGGAATGTCAAATCTGAAAAACAAAACAAAATGTCTTTAATTTTCTTCAAATATTGTGCTTTGCTTTTTCAGACGATCTCTGTTCATTTTGAAACTGGGATCCTACCAGTTTGCGCTGTTGAAATTGGTCTTAACCATCCTTTCTATAGTCCTCTGGTCGAATGGCAACTTCAATTTAGCTGATGTAAGTATAGACACTGCAGTTATTTTAATACATCATTTTATTTTTAAATTTGAGAAAGACTTGCAAAGTGTCTCTTTCTCTGGTCTGTAGGTTTCAGCCACTGGAGCAGCCATATGGATAAACTCCTTTATAGGCGTTCTCACCATTATCGCCCTTTGGCCTGTTGCAATCATGTTCATGCATGTGCGAGAGGCATTACGTACCCTTAAAATGGTCCCTAAATATGCCATGTATCAGGTTTGTACTTATTCCTTGCAATTTTTTAGAACATCCTTGGTGTTTAGTATTGCTGGAATGAATGTTTCCAGTGATTCAACAATTATATCTGCCCGTAGTTGGTGCTGATTCTCAGCCAGCTGCAAACTGCTGTCATCAACATACTGGCAATGAACGGGACTATTGCCTGCACACCGCCCTACACGTCCCAGGCCCGTGGATACTGTGAGTACCATCATGTGGCAGAATGTAACATAACAATCCTGTTAAATTATCATAGAGCACAGGACTTAAAAGGATAGTTCATTCTAGACATTAAAATTCTGTCATTATTTACTCACCCTCATGTTATTCCAAACCTGTATGAGTTTATTTTTCTTCTGTGAAATACAAAAGAGAAGTTTAGCAGAACGAGTTGCTTTCGTCCAAATGAAAGTGGATGAGCAGCTGTCAAGCTCCAAAAAGCAGCATAAAAGTATCATAAAAGTGTACCTTTTGTGTTCCACTAAAGTGAAGAAAGACAGTCATACAGGTTTTGAAAGACATGATGCAACATAATTTCATTTTATTGGGCAAAAGTTCCCTTTAACTCTTGCTTAATTTGTCTACACCCACTTAAATATTCTGTCAGGCATTAATGATTCCTAAAAACACCCTCAATTTCTTTTTGCAGTGATGAGTCAGCAGCTGTTGATTGTGGAGATGTTCATCATCACGCTAGTGACCCGTGTTTTATATAGACGTCAGTATGACCCCATACCAGATCTGGATGATGTTGAGGAGACAAAGACCGTCCTCACCTCAACAAAAGTTGTATATATTGCCTGAGAAGAACAGACTGTTGCATGTGATTGAGATTTCGCTATTTTCTTTTAGGCCGGTTTGTTAAAAAAAAAGTAATTTGTGAACAATGATGGTCATTGCAATGTTGCATTTTCTATATGTATGTACATTTACATTTAGTCATTTAGCAGATGCTTTTATCCAAAGCGACTATGAGGAAGTGAGGACAAATGATGATGTAAAAATGTACATGCTAGTATCTAATATTTTGCCAGTTATTGGGCTGCAGAATTTGACTGTAGAGTCAACCATGGCTTTGAGGGCCCTGATATTGATGTTTACACTTTTTATTGGGTCCGTTAATCTGGGGAGTCAGGACTACAAAGCATTACTAGATCTTGTGAGTCATGGTGCACATTGCTGATGAAGTGAGATAAAGTCATTTTCTATGGCTTGATGGTCGGCTGCATGAAAGATTTTTGGAACTGTATAAAGGTCAGGATTCATTTATGTTGCTAAATTGTATGTTGATATATTACCCTTTGTACTGTAAAATGTCACTTCCTACTGTTGAATACAGATTTTTCCTGTAATGTCATTTGTTTGATGTTGTTACTGTTAAAACTAAAACTATTAGAACAGGTCATTGAAATAAAGATGAAGTAAAGTCAAATATAAATATTGGATGCAAAAAAAATGAAAGATAAAAAATAGAAGTACTAAAATTGATAAAAGTAAACCAATAAAGTTTATTAAAAAGTGATTAAAAAAATAACGCTAGGTCTCAATAATAAAAATGAAAGCACATCAAATTGAACTAAACAAAATAACTAAACTGAAAATGAAACTGAAAATATAATAATAAAAGCTAACTCAAATTTTAATTGCAGCTATAATAATATATAAAGGATACTAAAATAACAGTTATCTGCACACAACTGAGAACCAATAATACACTTTTTTTCATGCTCAACTTTTCAGTAGTTCAGACTGGGAGACCTGCTAAACCATTCTAAATCAGCTAAGACCACCAGACCACCTTAGGCTGGTTTAATTATTATTCTTTTATTTTATTGTTTTGCTTTTGTTTTTTACAGCAAGATAATGTTTCTGTTTCCATAAATGGAAGTTTTTACGGACAAACAACCGTGTAATGTGGGTCTGAGAATTAAATCAAAATTGCTGGTTTTACAGGATGATATACACAAAATGTCATTAAAAACAAAAACAAACAACCAAACAAATTCATCACCGTTGTTCTGCAACCTAACATTCCACATTGTTCAGGTGAAGGAATGGACCAATTATAAAGCACTGTCTTTTTTTCCGTGTTCTTCTCAGCCAATCACAGCACTCGCTGTTTAAATCATGGTCGGTTGTGTGTTCGCTCTTGTGTACGTGCTGTGTAGTGGCCGTGCGGGAAAACACGGTACATACGTATAACGCAGTGTTCTGTTATATAAATAATATGAAACGGAGGTGAATTTTCGGATACGGATGTTGCGGTCAGCTCTACTCTTTGGACGATCCCTGCCATGATCCCAATATAAAGATATATTTTTCCCAAACAGCCTGGCATCAGTCGGTTCACATTTTCCTCCACAATGAGACTGTACGCATTTCTTCTGAAGGACCATTTACCAAAAATTGAATATTATTCAAGGTTTTCACCGTCGCCCCTGTCAATAAAACAGTTTCTGGAATTCGGTAAGTGCGAGCGCATCCATCACGTGAAAACTGACAGTCACTGACAGCGGCAGGTTACTTTTGATATAGCATGATTGCTTCATAAAATAAGTATGTTTTATAACCCATCATCGTTTTTAGTGTATGCTTGGTGTTCAAATCCGTTGACTGTAAATGCGACAAATCTGGTAAACAAGAACTTTGTGCATTTGGGAAAGAAAACATTCACAGGACGTCTCTATTTTGTATTATTGAGGAAGTTGGTTCTGTTTTTATGACAGTAGGAGATATGACACTTAATAATTTCCACATTCCAAAACTCAGAGACGGTTTAAACAGAAGAGTCACACATTCGAATCATTGATGCCATATATGACTAAAAATATATGTATGTCCTTCAGGTATTTATCGTCTTTTATCTTGTTAATTGTTTGCATATATTATTTGAGTTATCCATTTGCGGCCGTTTGCATATGAACCATCTCATATTAATAATATAACTGTCCTTTAATCAAACTGGATTCCCTCTAAGTCCCTTTAAAAAGAGGGAGAGGCTCTTTATAATATAATGTGAAGTGTGTGATATGATCGCTATGTAGACTACACCTAGGTTTTTAATTGGATAGTCATTAAATCATATATCATCCTAAACCGTATGACTGGAAAAATAAAAGGTTTGTGAATTTTCATTTTTGGGTGAACAGTCCACCGAACAATAGGAGTAATGGCACAAAAGGGACTGTCATAATGACACTTATCAGAATACACAATAGTTTCAAAGCAGTTTTACATAAAGTCATGATGTTAATATTTATACTATCTTATTATCTTCAAGGCTTATAGTTTAGCCTGATTAATGAGTTGTGCAGTTCTTTGCATGTGTCTCGGGCTTCAGGTATGGACAATAAAGCATTTTTTGGCACTTTCCCATCTGTAAACACTGACAGCCCCTCCTGTTTTCTCAGTTGTTTATGTTTCTGGTTGCTGGATTTTTAGGTAGGGATAATGCATGTGAGAAGACGTCTTACATGTTTCTGCGGAAGGAGCTGCCAGTGCGTCTGGCTAACACTATGAGAGAGGTCAATCTGCTGCCTGACAGGCTCCTCAGTCAACCTTCAGTCAAACTGGTGCAGAAATGGTAAGTATAACTGAGTTTGAAATGGAGGATGTCAGATACACATGCTTCGTGAAGCCTGAGCCCTGCCAAATCTCTCCACAGGTACATGCAAAGTTTTTTCGAACTTCTAGAGTTTGAGAACAGGAAGCCAGAAGACCCACATGCCCTGAATGAGTGAGTAGGACTCTTTTTATTATGTTTTTCTTTGTGATTTTTGTGAGCCAGATAAACTCTCTTGTTCTGCAGGCAGTTGCACGGCATGCTATTATATTTTCACGCAAAGTGAATTCAGGCCAGAGTTGAGAACAGCGGAATCAGATAGTGACTGAAAGCTGCCCAGACAGTGGAAAATAACAAATATGCATGCTGGGTCAGCGAAAACAAAGGAAGAATCCTACTCGCATGACATTTGTACATACAATGGCGTTTATTATTTATACAAAATACTATAAATTACTTGAATGACAAAAAAATGGAGCAAGAGTTGGGTGTACTTACAGTTTGCTCTAAGCTAAACAATATAATGACTAGGTCAGTGTTAGATATGTTTATTAGCCAGTATTTGGATATTTTATTGTTCATTCTATTTTTACATTTAGATTAACTTTGTCATCATCTAATGCTCACTCATAATTTAATAACACTGTTAAAGGGGTCATATGATGTTGCTAAAAAAAACATTATTTTGTGTATTTGGTGTAATGGTTGGGTATCGTTTGGGGGTTTTTTTATACCGGTGCCAAATCGATACTTTTAAAATGGTTCTGGTGCCTAAACGGTGCCTGAACCGATACTTATTAAAGAATAGAGAATGCTAGTGTTAGAGGCTCTTTTTTCTTTATAAATAAAACAAGTAGTTAGAATAGAAATAGAATAGAGAGTGCAAATGTTAGAGGATCAAGTTTTTTAATAAAAAAAAAAACAAGCAGATAAAATTAGAAGTAGCAGTAGAATAGAGAGTGCTAGAGTTAGAAGGTCAAATGAATATGAAAGCGATGTGTTTTCAGATGCGTTTCTTGAAAATATTAAAGGGGTGCTATTATGCTTTTTCACTTTTTCAACTTTAGTTAGTCTGTAATGTTGCTGTTTGAGCATTAAAAAGATCTGCAAAGTTACAAAGCTCAAAGTCCAATTCAAAAGGAGATATTTTATTTAACAGAAATCACTTTTCAAAAACTACAACGAACGACTCGTTTGGACTACAACGCATATTTTCCGGGATTTGTGATATCACAAATATCGACGAATGGGACGAGACCTGGTTGAGCTGCACTAGAGAAGGCAACGAGTGGTATCACTATGTCGGAGACACGCTAGCTTTCCCAAGGCAGACGCGCTTATAGTGGTTACAATCATCCGGGTTTAAATCGCGCTCAAATTGATTTGATTTTGACGCAATATTTACACTGAAGCTCGCGGGCGGCTATGGTGAGGGGCATGACATTTCCCGACCAGGCGCCGAGTGCTGCCAATCACATTCGAGCCGTTCATGCCAGACTAAGGAGAGAGGTGTTGTAATAATGTAAAATATTTGAAAAAATAATGTGTTTTTCGAACAACCTAGTATGAGAGCCTGTTCTAGTACACCCCCAAAACAAAATCAAGACTTTGTAATAGGACTTTATAATAGGACCCCTTTAAGGACTCCACCAGGAGGGAACAGTTAATGTAGAAGTCCATGAAAGTTTTATCATAGGTAGAATGCAAAATGTTTCAATACAAGCATTTCAGTCAAATGTAATTTATGCAATATTTCAAACCTTTAACCCACTTGGGAAAATCAACCCATGGCAACAATTTAAAAGTAGCCCAATTATGTGGGAAAAACCCCTGCATCCAACAAGAGCTACCGGAGTCAGCTTTGACTGATCACAGATCGAGAATAAGGAGAGATGACTGACAAGACCATGCTGGAGTATTTGCTGCTCAACAGATTCTGAGCTCATTGACAAATATCTGATCTTGTAAGTTGTTCTCTCTTTACACAGAGTGCGTGTGATCGTGAAATTCGAAAGTGAAAGTAAACAGTGCAAACGCTCATTCAAAAATATTTAAATACTCCGCATCCTGAGAGCTGCTCCCTGATGCGCCAAAATTAAACACAATATTAGAATGTTTAAAAGAGTGGACATGAAAATCGTGGGAGCGAAACACATGTTGCGGGAGCAGGCGGCAATGGTCAGAGATTCAGCGGGAGCAGGATTAAGAAAATCCGAATCCCGGACATTTTGGGCAATTAATAAATCCCGGCTGGACGCATTTTTGTAGGTCCAAAAAGAGGACATGTCCGGGGAAAAGAG